CAGATCCACTGACAGGAGAGGAAGAAGAGAAACAGCATTTAAGATGCTTCATCTCTGCTTCTACTGGATCCATTTGGGTCTGTTTCCAGTCCGAACCTCCTGCAGCTTTATATTCCGTGTTGTTTAGAGCCGCTTTTACTGAATTCAGGGGAATTTCTTCCAGTAGAATAAATGGGACTTTCACCTCCACGGTCTCCGTGTCTCTCCGTGGGTTTTTATCGCAGCGCAGCAGTAAAGTGGACCTGGAACCTGTCGGTTCCGCTGTCCGCTCCGACTCATCCCACATTTCTTTATCAGCTGTTTGCGCTAATTAATGCGCATTGAGATGTGTGCAGAATGAAGCGCCTCTTTGCTGTAGAAGCAGGAGGAGTTTGCGCAAACACTGAATGGATCAACCAGTGGTTCTGCTTCTGGAGCGTCAGAGCGCAGCTGTTCCACTCGCCTTGAACTCTGAAGCTACTGAATGTGAAGGAGCTTAGATGGAGGATTTTGTTCTCATGATTCTCACCAACTAAATGTGATCTTTTCTGCCACAGGAGAAACTCGGGGACGCTGGGACAGAGTTTTCCCTCCTCACACCTTTTGGATCTGTGCGCAGCAGAGGGAGAGATCTGCGGAGCGAGCGGCCAAAGATGAACACCATTGTGTTTAACAAGCTGAGCAGCCAGGTCCTGTTTGAGGAGAAGGCGAAGGAGGTGGAAATGAGCAGCAGAAATTACCTGGAAGTCATCGACGGCCAACATCCAGATCTCCTCTGCAGCAGCCCGGCCATCAGAGACAGCCAGGCGGTCAGACACAGGCGGAGCGGGTATGTGAGGCTCTCTGTTCTGGTAGAGGCTGCTGCTCAGCATGTGTGGATGCGGAGCAGCTGGAGTGCGTGGAGAAACCCACGGGGGGAAATATCTGGGAGCCTTTTCAACCTGTTGGTCAGGAAAGAGGAAAACTCTCCTCAGATCTCTGGGATGATCTCTGCGGTTTGAGCGCAAAAACATCTAAATCAGAGCGAAATGGAAAGGCTAGAAGAGTTTAAACTAAATTATATTTTTTCATTAAATATTTACTTTAAATAAATTATGAATAAATAAATAATTTAGATGGAAATTCTAATGTATCTCTGCGTAAAAACGCATTTGTGCCAAATTCGGCTAAAATAATTTCAAAGCTTTTCCGATTAGATTCCTGCTTATTGATGCTCTTGATGCTGTAATTTCTAAATCTTTTCTCAGGTTTTATTGCTAAACAATCTGACAGAGAAGATAATAAACCTTTATTGTTTCCCAAACTGCTGCTGATTTAATGATCTCAGCTCAGCTTAGAGAGAAGAAGCAGCTTCCAGAGAGAAATTAGAGCTGAAGCGGAGGCTCATTTTCATTCATCCATTTGTTAACAATGTTTAGATCCATTTGTTTCCTAAAACAAAAAACGATTACATTTATTTTTACAATAATAATTTGCATTTATCTGAAACGAAAAAAAATTATATTTGTTTGTAATGTAATGTTGAAGCTGCCTTGTAAAGTAAAGAAAAAAGAAAAATTGATCTTTAATTATTTTGTTTTTAATTAATAAAAAACCTTTTTATTCAGAATGTCAAATAAAATAAACTGAACTGTAAAAATAAATCGAAAAAAGGCCCTAGTTGAGTGGAGTAAAAAGTAAAAACTGGGATTTATTGAATGTTTATATTTTTTATCCTGATTTGGATTCAAATCCATCAGGTTTTCATTTTAACTCCATGACGGTCAGCTGAACAAAGTCTGCACATTAATACATGTTGGCTCAGTGTTAATCAGTCAAAGGTGGATCTAAAAGTTTCCTTGAAAACTTTCTATGTCACTACCTGAATATCTTTATTATTTGATGGGGCTGCAGCGTATTCAGAGAAGATTGGATGATGATGCTGTTGCTGTAAAGGTCAATAAAAACATTGATTATTCTGATTGATCCACATTTTCCAGCGGCTGGTTTTTCTTCCACATGAATCTATGTCCCTACCTCTCTCCATGAGCTCCACATCTCAGCCATTAAACATCTAGATCTGCTGTGGGCATCAAGGACAGATGGCCTCCATTTAAATGCTCCAATTTATTACTAATATATTGTTTATATGGAGAATAGCCAACACTGCACAAAAGCATCCTGCTTAAATATTACATCCAAGCAGCCCTTAGGCATTATTTTTGGAACAAACTGATACTGCATGATCATCATGATTCTATAATGTGCAGATCTACAGTTTGATAGAAAATGTATGTTTTTGTTTTAAACCAGAACCCAAGTAAAGATTATTTGAAAACGAGTATTATTGAAGGAAATGAGAGAAATTATAGATATTGGGATAAAACTCTGACCACTAGATGGCAGCAAAGGGTTTCCAATAATCTCTGTGGTTTGTGTAGAATTTGCATCAACAGTCATTAGAGGTAATGGTCCCCATCTGTTTCCATTGATCCACCTTCAGCTCTATGTGGGCTCTAGTTCTTCACAGAAACAGCCAGTCTGAACAGATCTGAGCTTGTTTGTGTGGACGAGGAAGCAGGTAGAAGAGACGATGGGTT